TGGGAGACCCCGTCCTGGTTCTCCCTGCAAAGTATTGAAATAAGCACTGATTCGCATCTGAGCTCTGGCAATAGTAGCAAACTGACACTAGTGATTTTATGTGATATTTAAATCATCTGGACATCTAAAAAGTTTATCATGTCCATTACATAGATAATATTATAATTCTGGTTGTTGAATTATGTACTCTAATGTTCCTAAATTAAGTCCTCTCAAATACATATTTGTATTAAGCATCCAAAAAGCAGAAGACATTCACACCAAAGCTTTAGAAAAGTTTCACAGAACACTTATGTCCTTCATCAAAACCAGGATGCTTCAGGTCACTTGTTGAGTTACTTTCACAATGTGGCAGCATGTATCAAAATATTAATCTGTACTTAAATTAGTAAGAAAAATACATTTGCAGCAAAATACACACCTTTTGTCCAGGTGCACCAGGTTGTCCAGTTAAGCCATCCTTTCCTGGTTTTCCTGGCTCTCCTGGTAATCCTTGAGCTCCTGGAATTCCACTGATTCCTAGAAACATGGACAAAACATTTATACTGAGTTCTCTTTTGTTCTGTTCATGTACAAGCACTGTATCAAGTATAGTTTGTTTACATTTTTCTTAGAAATCTGTAAGTATTCAATGAATGTACGGGTCAGCTTGGAGTAACTTACCTTTCGGACCAGTTGGGCCTGGAAATCCAATTCCAGGAGCTCCGTGTTCACCCTTCAGTCCAGGAAAACCTGGCAACCCTGGATCACCTGTCAGGCCTCTGTCACCTGCAGCCAACAATGTTTTATTTACCATACATGGATCAATCATCAACAATCTTCACATGCATTGGAATCTTCACAATATGTTGTTGATTGTAATTGCATGATGATACTCTGCTCCTCCAACCTAATTGTAATGTTATTTCGTTGATCAAACATGAGATTAATTCATGCATTAATCCACAAAGGACAAATTTCAAATCAATAATTTTTGCAGACGAGTTAATTGAAAACATGCTGACTATGCTGTTTCTCACCTTTAACTCCAGGTCTGCCAGGTTCTCCTTGTGTTCCAGGTACTCCCTGAGGTCCTGGGGTGCTCACACCTGTACCTGGCTCACCTTTTATACCTGTTGGACACAAACTATATGTCAATGAATGAATGTACAGTGTGTGTGTGTGTGAGTCTCAGATATGCCTAAGTTTGATTCGACTTTGACTATATGAGTGCATCTTTATGATTTCTCTGATCATGCTCACCAGGTACTCCAGGAGCTCCAGGAAAGCCTTGTCTCCCCGGATTGCCCTTCTCTCCAGACTCTCCTGGTCGACCGAAGCCTGGCACGCCAGGTGGACCCCTCTCTCCCGGAGTCCCAATAAGACCAGGGTCCCCAGCTGGTCCACGCTCACCCTTGATGCCCTCTTTTGCCTGAAAGCAAGATTAGAGAATGGGGATGTCCAATCTATTTTGTTTTTAAGATTGACAATAAATCAGAGAGACTGAATAGAGATTGAGAGGGACAGTAAAGTTGGGTGATCTGTGTCTCAACCCATTACTGCCCACATTGCATACAGCCATTTTTTAGTTAATATAACCAATACTCATTATAGCAAATGAAAGTAAACATGAACTTGAAAACAAGCGTTTTAAACATTAAGTGGCCTGTTTATTTATTTATTTTACTGTCCTTTCAAAGCTTCTAGGGACAGTCATGAAATGCTGTGATAGATTGCATTGGACAATTTTAGCGCATACTGTCCTAATATCCTGATAGTTTGAGTCATCAAACAAACCACACTTACGGGTTCTCCTTTGGGACCAGGAAAACCTGGGGTGCCATCTCTCCCTGGCAGTCCATCTCTCCCTGGCTGTCCCGGTGAACCAGACTGACCAGGCAGTCCTTTGTCCCCCTTCAGACCAGGAGCTACGAAAACGTCCCCTGGCTCACCAACAGCACCAGGAGCGCCTATCAGTCCGGGAGGGCCCTGAGAACCCTGGACACAGGTAAAAAAATGTATCATGCACTAAAGAAAATTTAAATGACATGTTCTGATATTTTTCAGTTTTCCTTAATGAAATGAGTGATAAACTATGAAAACATTCAGCTCAGAATTTTGTCCTAAGTGTCTGAGACGTTATTCTACTCACATGTCTTCCAGGTTCTCCTGGAGAACCAGATCTACCCTTGTCTCCCTTGCTGCCAACTGGCCCAGGAGGTCCTGCCAGGTGAAATAGATAATTGTACATTCTTAGCTCATTAAATACTTATGGTAGTGGGTGTCGATACACAGGAAGAAATGGTGGAATAAGAAAATATCCAATTCATTGTGTTTGGAAAATGACAACTAGAGTCTACAAATGGGGTCAGAAGTCTCCAGCAAAACAGCCAACAATATTTTGACAACATAAATTTGATGTCAAACACCATTTGATTTGAAGGCACCCACTGTTCACTCACCTCGATCTCCTTTAGGACCCTGGGGGCCAGGTAATCCAGGTGGGCCGAAACTTTCACACTGAACACAGGTATCTCCTGTGTCACCTGTAAGGCACAGAAATTTGTTCTCTTGCAGCAGTATTGATGCATGTGGTACATACAGCATTAACTGTAGACATTCTTACCTTTCTGTCCCACTTCCCCTCGTAACCCTGGAGGTCCAGGTGGACCAGGAGCTCCTTTAGCAATGTTACATTCATTAGGGTCAACTGTGAGGCCATGTCATAACACACACACACACACACACACACACACACACACACACACGAGATTAGAAAATCATTTGTAGATACACACTTTATGTGGGTGTACCATGTTGTCATTTATTTAAATTATTCTAATATTCAAAGATAAGGCATACTCGGTTGTCCAGGTGGTCCAGGGGGTCCACTGAGACCTGGTTGTCCTGGAGGTCCAATGAGAGACTCTCCTTCCATACCCCTATCTCCTTTCTCACCCATGTCTCCCTTCTGACCCCTCTCTCCACGAGGCCCTTCAATGTGCCGGCCTATAGTAGAAGGCAAGAAAGCCAGTTGTGCGTTTTTCAGGTTAGTGTGTGGCTGACATACAGTATGCAGCCTCAATGCTGTGTTGTTATATTATGCTGAAATATTGTTTTATTTTACCTGGTGGACCCGCCTCTCCCTGAGGACCAGGAAAACCTGTGGATTAGGAAGAAACCAAAAAGGAAATAAAAACAGGGATATAATGGTAACTGATCCAAGGTTGGTGTTTATGCATGTGTGTGTGTGTGTGTGTGTGTCCGCATTTGGAGGCACACTATAGCCTCGCTTTACCTTTTTCTCCATTTAATCCTGGGAGACCACGAGGACCGGGAGGACCGGGGGCACCATTACCCTGAAATTAGACAATTACAATGAGTAAGGGCACATGTTTTTTAAGATTATGTTTAAGTTTTATTACTTTGATCTACCTAAACTGAGATTAACTCAGAACTCTTTACGTGCCATCTCTACTTCTAATGCTGACTATTACTGCAGTACTGGTGCAAATTATTTGTATTGAAATAACTGCAAAGAAAACAATTACACATGGTAGTATCATATCCTTCTGTGTCTCGCTGTCTCGTGTCTCTATAATTGCCATTATCTCTCAACTTAATGCCCGGCTGAAAAGCAGTGAACACTCACTGCACTCTGGTTAAACTTTTTCAATCTGTTGCACCTCTGACCACACCAAGCTTCACTGATGGATGTGTATGGCTGTGGTCAGAAGTGTGCTCTCTTGTACCTTTAACCAAACTCAACAGTGATGTCACAGTGTACAGACAGACCCTGGAGTACACTTTACATCACTGTAGCAAGGTGTGAAGATACAAGTACTACTAGAGAAACTGCTACAGGTCAACTAAAGAAAATGTGTGTGTTAACTTTATGTCCCTCATATGGGTCAGGCTCCTTTAATTCTGGATCCTACGTTTCCCATAATGCAACTCACTAGTGTCTTTTGTTAGATCCTCCCTGCCTGGTAAATGCCCACATCTTTAGTACAATAGTTTGTAATGCAGGCATTCTATTAAAACCTTTAGTCTCCAAACTGACATTCCTCAAATCAAGGCCAAAGGCAGGGTTTTAGAAATATTGAGGTCAGAAGTCAAATATCCCCCAGAGAAACTCAATTAAAACTGTTATGTTATAGTTTCTGTACTTTACAAGTCCCTAGATTAGGGTCTAAGTACTATTACAAAGTCCTTTTCACACTGCCAGGATATGAAAAAACTGAATAATTTTGCTATTTGTTAATTTGATCCATTACATTACTATAATTTCAAATTTAATAATATTTAGCCTTACAGTTTTTTTCGCTTTGGTACATTTCTCAGAGCAGAATTGAAATTCTCAAAACTACTTGTTCAACCTCTCGTCACAAATTGCAAATGCTTTGACACATTTATGCAAATGATTATATACAATTGTTGGCTGTTTCCTACATTATCAACTGCTCATGTCATATTGATCACAGCGCATAAGACTGGTTCTCTGTCTTACCCCCCAAAACATCTAGGCCTAAGTTGACTGCATTAGTCATTACATACAAAATGGTTGAAAACGTTGTCATAATCTGTCATATTTTTTATACATGTCTATTAGAAATGTTTTATTTTTTTGTAAATGTGTCCTAAATTGTTAAAGATATCTGTTGTGATGTGGATAAGAATCAGTGGCCCAACAGACAGGATGTCAGCCTACATTTCTAATTTTGTAATGTGTTGACTGTAAAACAGTTTTGTTTTTTCTGCATCACAATGACATGCTCTGTTGACAAATTACAGTAAAAGGGTAAGTGGGAATACTGTCCAATTTCTTGCAATGTATAACTCTGTACTGATGAAACTGATAAATGCCACACAGAAAAAAATGCAGCCCTGTGCATTTTCAATCATTGTCATCCAAACCTTAGCCATAGTTTACATTAGAAAATCCTACACTGTTTTATGACAACATGGCTAAACATTTTGAATATCTTTTTATTTTTAATATAAACAATGACAGAAGGACTCATTCTGATGGCACTGACATGTTCAATAATATAAATATTTACTTTTGAGAGATAGACTAAGGATTTTGGGCAATTTACAGGGTTTTGCAGGTAATCCCCTTTCATGTGTGAGCATGTTAAAGGGACTGATTTAATATGTTGTGACATCTGCTGGTATTTCTCATCCTCTTTGTAGCTGATGGAAAAGAGTGAGTGGGTGAAAGTGAAAGAAAGCAAGGAAAGGAGAAAACAGGAGAGGGAGGAGAGAGATTACTTACAAAACCTGGTGGTCCTCTTTCTCCCTTTGAACCCTGAAACAAGATAGCAAATTTAGATCTTAACACCTCCAAGATCATTTATGTTTTAGATTAAAGCACTGAATATGTGCAGAGTATATAAAAGCTGCACTAGATACCGGAGAACCAGTGAATCCAGGATTTCCAGGAAAGCCTTTTTCTCCCTGTATAAAAGTATAAACGTTCTTTAGCGATACATATTTCATAAAATAAAATAAAACAACAGTTGGGCATAGTACAGCAGGTGAGTAATACTTTAAATTTTCGTTACCTTTGGCCCATCCTCTCCATCTTTGCCAGGTTTACCCTAAAATTACAGAAACAGATAAACACTTTTATTAGTTTTGTTCTCACTTGGATTGATAATATGGAGATATCTACATGCAACTGAATCTGTATCTGCTCAAATGGGTGCACAGAGAAACTTAAGTGAAACAAGTTTAAGGTTTTTTGTAATGACACATTATAAAAAAGCTTGTTTCCATGTTACAGTCAAACATTTGACAAATCTGCATACAAATCTCACAGTGACAACTAACGCTGAACTTTTTTCTTTATTTGTTATACCATTATACCATCCCATAGAGACACATTTCTGCCACTTACTCTTGGTCCAGGCGGGCCGTGATCACCTTTGACACCATCGTGATGTGGGATGCAAAAGCCCTGCAAAGAAAATCAGGTGTGTCAAAAAAGTATAAAGTTGAAGTAAAAGATAACAGCCTGTGAGCGCAGTAATGACAGACATGCACTTCAGCATTTGAAAGCAAAATACTAACTTTTTCTCCTTTGTCTCCTGGAGGTCCTATTTCACCCTTTAGTAATAAAAAACACAAACACATTCAGGAAATAATACAAGTCTTAAACAGACATTTAGCAATTGCAATTTATTTATACATAAAAATAGATCAATTTCTGGTCATTTTTTAAAAAACTGAGTGAGTACCGGCGGTCCAGCCACATGCACTGTGGTATGTCCCTCCACTGCCGGTGCTGGAGGTCCAGGAGGGCCGGGTGGGCCACGAAATCCTTGTTCACCCTGCAGGGAGACAGCAGCGATCACAACACCAGCCAAAGCCAAATACATTTTCATCAAAAGAAAAGCAAATTCATCGAGTGAAAATCAAGTATCTCCAAATTTTGTGATTTAGATACTGAAGAGTTAATTGTTCCTTAATGTGTTGAGAGAATTCTCTTACCTCTTAAACTAAACAGCTGGCTAACTGGCTCAAATTAATCAAGATTATTGATGAAATCTATATGATCAAAATGTTGCTCATTTAAATAAATGTATGGTTTGAAGTCAGTGTGCAAGCGTTACTCTGTATAGAGAGCCATTTCATTCAAAACTCCACCCAAACTGCATACCAATTTGAATATTTTTGGATAATTAGATACAAACTTAAAAGTAAAAGTATGTAAGATTGTGACATTTCCATCAGAGATGGGTTTTATATTTAGAAACTTTAGGAAAATACCCCTTGTTGTTTTTTTGTTCAAATTTTTAATGATCATACATTCTGTAAGGAAGAGGCAGATTGTTTCTGATTTTTCTTCCCCCTGCTTGGCCATTGTTTCATTAGCTCTTTGTTTGTCTTAACTGTGTACTCTAAATCAGGACGGGGCTGTTTAGCGGAGAGCAAAGGCTCTGTTCAGGTCTTCCCCGTGCCCTTATCCTATGAGGATTTTTTATCTTAAATCGGTGGTATTATGCTTATTTTCAGGTTTAAAATCCTATTTAGAGGTTGTGCCAAAACAGGTTTACATGGTTTCATTTTCAAAAAACACCATATTTTTTTTTCATACTGCACATTGCTGCAGCTCCTCTTTTCACCCTGTGTTGAAGGCTTCGTTTTAGCTATGGAGTGATACATCTTGTCTCTAAATAATCTTTGTTAGGAGTTGCACATGCACAGTTCCTAGTTAAGGACTACCAGCCAATCAGAAGCAGAGAAGGGCAGGTCAGAGAAAGGCTGGTAAACAGCTGATTCAGCTGTACTAAAAAGAGCTGTTTTCAGGCAGCTCAGAGCAGAGCTTTCTGTGGGAGATGGGAACTCCCTTTGGGCTGGACTTTGGGCTTTTTCACTTTGCAAACCTAGTACATGCACAAAAAAGATATATAACTGAGTAAAGGAGAGGGGAAAAGCCAAAAACCATAATAGCACCTCTTTAAATAAAAATCCAAACTTTACAAAAAAATGAATGAAGCTGTCTTATAGTCCTTAAAATGAAGAAGACCTTGTGACCCCCAGCCAAATTTAATTGGACAATGCACGCTATCCTGGTGCATGCTGTCAACTGGTGCTGTTGATTGGGTTGCACTCTATGTCCACTGGGTGGCAGAGCAGTCTGACTGTGTAGGTGGTGAGCAGTTTGGGTAGGGTTTTGAATGAAACGGCTCTTCATAGCTCTTTTAATCGATGCTGCTTTCCAATAACATTGCATGTACATGTGATGTGCCTACGACTACGGCCCCTCTGATCAATACCTGAAATACCTTCACAATCACTAGAAAATACAGGACATGGCCACAAATGATCAGAGACTGCTGGAATTTCCTTTCACATTTCAATTTTTTAAGATAATGCCATCAAAACTTTACTTGAGATGATATTATTTCTTACCTAAGGAAGAAAACACATATGGTAAGAAAGCTATCACACCATTCTTATTGTTTTATTACTGAACTGTAAAGTGCTCCAACCACCTCTACAGGAAAAGTATCATATAAGAAATTTAAACAATGCCTTTTTTTTGCAAATATATAAAATAAAACTCAAATTCTTACCTTATCTCCTTTCTCGCCTTCAAAGGCCAACCTGTCACCCTGCAGATAAGTTAAAAAAAAAGTCCTATGACATCTCACTTGGGTGATTAAGAGGATGGTGGACTTTATTTTACAATTGTAAAATCTTTATGTATGATTAGTCTTACCTTGTCTCCGGGTGGACCAGGGGGGCCAGGATCACCCTGTCAAACAGTTATTCAATTAGTCAAGCAAACTGACAATACTAGTACTCTATCTAACTGATGAGCATTGAGAAATTATCCATCAGTATTTTTCAGGTTAAAAAATCTACTGAGATGATCAGTTGTGCTCTTTAAACGATAACCATGTGTTTCTGCACAACCAATATTCCTTATCTGTCAAAGTTTGTCTGTGACTCTGTAGGATGATAAACAGTCCCTCACTGTAGGTGTAACTCACTTTGGGTCCTTGATAGCCACGAGGTCCAGGAGGTCCAGTAGGTCCAGAAGGTCCAGCTGATCCCTGGGACAGAAAGACGTGTGTAGGTAGAACTTGGATTTACATGAAAATTCAGATTACAGTGTCTCAGTCTCCTTTCACGAACACACACACATACACAAACGTACAGGTAATCCAGGTGCGCCAGGGAATCCTCTGTCTCCTTTCAGGGGAACAATCCCAATCACACCACCAGGATCGCCCTGTAGGAGACAAAACAAAAAATAAGTGGTGGTGAACACTTGTGTCTCCTCATGCAGGAATCCTTGTATTGTTTTACAACACATGTACATAAAAGATGTTAATGCTTCATAAATTTCAGATGACCTTCAATCCAGGAAGTCCTGGGATGCCCTGAAAAGAGACGACAGTAGTGACATATCTATAGCATATTCTGGAAGGATGCAATATTACAATTTTGAGATGCTGTCATCATTTTTCTATATCATGTAGAAATCATATGATTCTAATGTTATGGTTGTGATGTTGTAAAAACTTCACAGACTAGTTTTCATAGTGTGGCAACAACTGAAATGTGTGCTGGGCAGTGGAGTGGTGGTTGATTGTCATGTGAGTCACAGTTGCTTACAGGAGGTCCCTGAAGACCAGCAAAACCGGGAGTGCCATCCCTTCCTCTGTCTCCCTGAAACACAAACACAACACAGTCAGAAGGTACAACCGGTGTTAAGGTTTACGTGACAAAATAAAACACCAGGCGTCAGGTGAACAAATACTTCGAAACACAGTAGAACATTTTAGAAGTGGCTTACTTTAGTCCCATTGCATCCTGGGATACCTGGCTGACCTGGTGGGCCGTCATTTCCATTGATGCCCTAAGAGCGGGAGTTCACAAATACACAATGTGAGACAATTTTCAGGTACATCGTGACAAACTGCCCCCAGCTTCTTGGTCATTCTACTCGGTCTTCAGAAATGACCTCCCAACAGACAGCGTCCAAAATTCAAATGCAACCTAAAAAATAATAACATCATCCAGCCGTATTTTTTAGGAACTTACTGGTAGTCCCGGGTTTCCTGGAAAACCTGGCAGACCAGGAGGACCCTGCAAGATCACCATATCAGTATTATTGTTTCAAGCCAACATCAAAACTAATACAACAACATAAGCAATAATTTGTGGAATAGAAGTCTGTCTCATTGAATATAATCCTGTATTATGATTTTGGTGGTTAGTAACTTACCCGCACTCCTTTCAGTCCAGGACCCCCAGGTTCACCCAAATCTCCCTGAGAGAAATAAATGACAACATGATCATCAGAACAGAGAAAGATTTATTCTTAGGAGCCATGAAGTCAGCTCATATTTGTAGTGACAAATGACACAAATGGAAATACTGCATAATCAGTTAAATTCATTTCAACAATCAATAGTTTGTTTTGTGTTTTAAAAATTTAGTAATGTATGTTTGTGTTTGTCCCATGTTTTCATTAACTGTGGGGGCAAAATCAGTTCACAATGTTTTTAGGTCAACCCAAACTTACGATTGTGTGAGCTATGTGACCTCGGTGAAGTGGAAAGTGAATCTCATTTCCTCTTGTATTGTACACATTATGATGATCTAAGAGAATCTTTGCTTCTGAATGTTACACGGCAAATCTCTGAAATATTTTGATATGCTGACGATCAAAAATTTGCATGCTTGTTTAACTGTGATGTATTTAAGTTTGCAAACTTTGTCTCAAAAGCTTGGAAAAGAAGGCAAGCTAGTTTGTTTAACTAGATTTAATTTTGTTCTGTGTAAGGTTATGGGTTTATGTGGGTGGTTATCTGAGTAAATATGAATGCATCTATGTATGAACACATACATGCATGTATCTGAATACATATGTACCATTTATTATTATTCCGCTTCTAATCCTTGTTTCTATTTGGTTAGCACTGTATATGATGTACTCTGGACCTGGCTATCTTGTATATTTATTTTTTCCTGTATATCAGTGTTGGTGTCTTGTAAGCCCATGCGGGCTGGGCGTAATCATACGCATGACACAATAATAAAGCTTCATTCATTCATTTTAATTTAAGGTTATTCATTTTAATTTGTGTGTGAGTGTGTACTGACCTTGGGCCCCATTGGCCCTGGAGGCCCTTCAGGTCCCTGCATACCAGGGAATCCCATATTACCTTGAAGGCCAGGAAATCCACGCTCACCCTGTGAAGCACAGAATGTGAGTTTGATGGTAAAAGGACAAAAATCTTTATATTAACAAAGATTAGAAAGAACAATTTTAACCACAAAATGTTGAAAGAGTTTTCAAAACAGATTTCAAGATATTTTATGATTTAATAAATCTATCTATCTATCTATCTATCTATATTTCAGACACTAATCACTAAAGGTGTCATGAAAATAAATATAAGTGGAAAACACAATGTGATCTGTGAGTCCAATTTTTATGAATGTTCTTGTTTGTATATTATATGAAAAGCAAACTTTCATTCTTTCTTTCCTCTGCTTAAGTTTACATACAGTACACGTGGGTCAAGCCAGTGCCAAAACAGCCAAGCATATTTTATTTTATTAAAAACAGTATTGAAAACAATAAAAACAAATATTGGTCTCAACAAATATCATCTGTGTCCTTCCCAGTGACCTAAATCTGCCCAAGAAAGATTCCTATATGTTGTTTCCACTATCTACCACTAGATGGCAGCATTGCTTATAAAAGAGAGGAGTCATGCTCCTTCTTCACTGCACTCCCAGAGCTGCCAAGCATAAACTGCCAAGTTATATAGCAAATATAAGAATAAATAAATAAGAATAAATAAGAATAAAACCATATTGAAACTTTTTGGATCAATGTCACACCTGACTACCATTAGTCGGGAGAAACACTGCATTTTGAACTATGGGAAACATCATAGGGTTGCCATGGCAACTCCTGTTGTGTAACGTCAGAAAGTGATGTCATTGGAAATAAAACTTACAGGAGATTTTAGGAAGGCTGTTTGGGGCCTTTCAGCAACTTTCAAAACACAGAGGTGCTTTGAAACCACAGTGGATTGGCTGAGCTCCACCGAACACAGTCAGTACATCTGTTGTTGTCGGGAGAGCTGAATGTTTGGCGACTGCTACTGTAAGGAGGAGCCATAAAAGGCCAGACTGTTGCACTTTGAGGTTATAGATAACAGTCTTCAGTCGTCTGATATAACTGAGCCAAAAATACGCATGTATGTTCAAACAGTAGGATTCACAGTAGAAAAAAAATCTACTTTAAAGAATCAGTTCCCAACTTTCCTTGCTTGACAGCATAAAACAAAGCAGCGTCTACTTGTGACCCCTTGTTAAAGGTTGCGTTTTTCTTCTGGTTATGACCAATTTAACCAGACAACTTAATTTGATTATTTTAGTGCTTGAGAGGCCATATCATGATCTCACTCGGAAAAAGGCAAAGATAAGACGAAAGTCTTGTTGCTGTCCTATTAATCTTTTGTGACTCCTCACGTTTAGCTCGATAAAACTGGCCCCCAGGTTGGAACAACTGATTTAAATAAAGAATTTGTCAGGTATTTTGGCTGAGAGATCACTTCTATAATAAAATGCAGTTTATAAAGTAAGTAAGTATTTATCTTCAGACCAAGGTCACTGAAAACATATGTACTTGTTTTTGATCAGGCTTTGGCTACAAAGGAAATACTTGTCAGTTGGATGAATTTATTGTTGGTTTTGGTCTTTTATGTGCTGATAGCTCAAAGGCTCACAGCCAGTTCATAGCAAGTGTCCCCACTATTTATACATCTGTATGTGAGCGATTCCCTCCCTCTGATGGTAATAAGGCCTTCAGCCCAGCTGTGTCCTGACATGCTCTAATTCAAACTGATATTTGTTCCCGTCTTGGTCTCTGCTCCGTGACGGAGCCCCATCCACTGCTTTTCCACTGAGGCCTAGCTCCAGTCTGTCCCACTGAGCTGACCCCATTAGTCAGGACATACAGTAGGAAGCACCGTCACGGCTGCTTCAGCCTGCTATGAACTTAAAGAGACTGCACTTTGCATCAACTGCAACTGCAAACTAACATGAAGGCTTGATATCCAAAAATAACAAGAAAATGCACAAGGATTGATTGAAAATGACAAATGAAATGAGCACAAATTAAAATCTCACCTTTGCTCCTTTTACACCACTGCAGTCACATGTTCCACATGATGCCCCACAACCCTGAGGATGAAGAGAAAAATAACAATAAATGATCCATCACTCGGAAGACAAAACATTTAGGACAATCATAGAAAGACAGTGTTTGCCAGCTGGACAGTACAAGAGGCACCGGCTGAGTGTCACTGTATGTCATCCATCAGATGTGTGCTACAAACTTTTCATTCTTCTATAGCACAATAGTATACTGCCTCAGCCAGATGGCTCATAGACATCCCGCTGACACTGCAAATCACTACAGTGAGCAACTTCATGCAAGCCTGCTGATCTTTCCCAGTTGCTATCAAGCTGCACGGAGCTAAAGAGAACGGCAGAGTTGGGGGGAAATTCTCTGTGGTTGTGTCACTACAAATTACCCTGTTCACATAATATAAAACAACTATAGTGTCTGTAATTTTCTTGATGGTGGTGTTGATCAGGTATGTGAACAGGTTACTTTTAAGCCACATGAAGGGTCACTGATTAGGTTTGTAGAACTACATGCAGGCAGAGGGTGTTAAAGCAGCTGTTCTTGCCCCCCCCCCCAACCTCCCTCCCCGGACTTCCTCTCCTCTGGGTTCTCCAGGAGCTGGAGCCTGGGAACTGGCCTGCACTATCTTGGCTCTCTCCTCCATTGCTCCTCTCCTCCATTTCCCTCCATCATCCAGCTGTTGCTAGACTCACGTGCAGGGCATCCAGCCAGAAGCCTGTCAGAGCTTTGGACAGGCTCTGCAGGCCTGAGCAGAGAGAGCACAGCTTCACTACCCAGAAATATTTGACTGTGTCTCTCGTTCTCACACACACACACAACAAATTAATGGCTCCATCACCATTCATCGTGATCCGTTCTCAACTTTCTAAACCTTATAGTCATCTCTGCATAGGTCATTCTTAATTATACATTTTCTTAATATCCTGTCCAAGTCTTCAACATATTCCCTGTCTTCCTTCTTACACGCAATCCTCTCCAACATACCTGATAAGTGAATCAATGTGTGGCCCTAAAACCATGGGAAACCACAGGGAAACAGGACCTCCAGTCCTGACTGCCCCCACCCTGTCCCAGTGCACTTGTTTTTCTCTATTTGCAGAATATAACACGTGTGGCCTGCAAGATTACCCATTCCCGCTCTCTCAAACACCTCTGACTCACTTCATCTCACCTCCCCACTCCTGGTTCTGTAAGTGTTTTTCCCTCCCCCCCAAAGGCCTAATTTCTGTTATACCACAGTAAAACGTAAAGGACACCTGCTTCAGATCAGATTAGTATCATAAGACAAACAGAGGAAAAGGAATATTGACTCTCAGAATTACGCACATGTGTGTTTTATTATGGAAAACCTGCTGGCTCGCAGTAACAGCTCCTGGTGCTGGATTAATGTGATTCTTTTTTGACATTTCACCAAGGGAGTGAAGGCACGCTAACACAATGAGGGAACACGTTCACATATTGTCAGCACCACTTAAGTAAATCACAGCTGCTCATGGTTAAGTATTGCTTAAGTCACCCCTCATTCACCTGTTGTTCTCTGTCTCACAGTTTTTCCATTCCCTTTAAGGCACAAGCTGAGCAGACATTCCTACATGTTGGAGGGCATGACCAGGAAACCCAAGTCTCAAACTGACAGGCACTATGATGAGGACGCTATGCGTGCTTATGTGTGATGAAAAGCCTCCACCCTGTCACGTCTACTGCTAGATCTCTGGAGAACAGCGCAGTAATCTGCAGGTAGATCAAGGTAGTCTTTCTTTGACTTGCCCTGTTTATTTTCCTTCTATATCCGTTATGCTCTGTCATAAACCCAAACACCAGATGGGAGACATAGGCACAAAGACCCAACTGACATCTGCACAAAAAGAGCTTTTTGCTAATGAGTCTTGCAGTTCTCGAGTGGATGACTCGTCTGATTGGGTATCTGAGCTTTGCATAAAAAGGGGACCTTAAGAGGACCTTTATCATACAGATCCCCGGGTATTTCAGATGATGAGGGTTCTGATTATCTCCCTGGTGAAAGGTGGATGATGGGCTTACCAGTTCACACACAAGCCCAAGATGAAAATAACGTACTGACAGGGGTGGAATGTAAAGTACATTTACTCGAGAATTATTTAAGAATATGAATGTACTTTTAGTCAAGTCATATTCTGAATGCTGTATCTTTCGTGTAAAGGAGTATATTTAAATTGTGCTACAGGCTACCGGCACAGTACAGAGTCTGCTAGAGCGTCAGATTGTGAGAAAATGAAGGTGGTGCTACTCACGCCCAAACAGCATGATCTTCAAAAGAGCAAACAGACTGAGCAGAAGCCTCAGACTCTGCGGTGTCCACTGTGAATATACAGTGGCTGGTGAGTCACTGGAGAACCTGTATCAGAGCCAGTAAACCTCTGTAGCACACAGCCTCTTTGGACAAGTATTTATGTCATTCCTAAGTCTGGATGGCAGGCGTGGATGTCTCCAAACAGTGAAAAATTAACATGACGTATGTTGTTGAGTGTTTACATTTACTGGGTGCTGCACAAAACAGTGCCTTACCATAATTGTGTGTATGACAGTGTATTTGTGATTGTTTACTGAAGCTGGATCTGGCAGGGAAATAAAGTCCTGAAAGTTTGCTTTGAGAGAGTCTGAGATAAAAGCATGAAATGCCAACAGAAGAATAGAACGAGTAGGGTGTAACTGAGATTTAGGACATAGTATTCAGAGGCACTTTCACAGGCATTCTTAACGTAGTCCTTGGCCTTATGTGTTAGAGGTGCAGGATGTTACTTACGTTCAAGCCTCATCCCAGAAGACCTAATGTTTCAACAACACTTGCTCGATATGTATGACATCATTAGATACACAACTCCAGCTCTGAGATGGGCCCAGGAGAGAGGAAGTGATGAGCAAAGTTTACTCTCGAGATTACAGGTCTGGGCCAGAGAGCGATGTCGGTCCATAGATCCTGACATTAACACAGACGCTCTTAATGTAAACCAAGGGAGAGTGTATAGAGCTGTTGCATAACTGGATCCTAATAACACAATAGCTGCACCATCATGGCTGAGGCCAGCGGCGCCTGTTACCGAATAGCTTGCATGGATTGGGCATTATAAATTTCTATTGGAGTTTACCAGATTTCAAATGAGTGTAGTCACTGACCTGACCTTACTGGACAGAAATAAATAATACACAATGTTCAGACAAAATAAACACCACAAGGTAAATTATCTGTAGTAGCTGTTCTGGAGCTTTCAATCATATCACACAATCTTCCTCAGCAGATAGAGTTTGCCCTAATGTTTAAATATCAGTTAAAAGTTAGCTAGGTAACGGGACCTCTAGCTCATGGATAACTGAGCTAACAAGCTAAGAGAAGCTATTGTTAGCAGTAGTTAGCGTTTTAACAACAATTAAAGCCTGTTCTGTTTATCAAGAAACTAACTTTCTTTCACAAGTGAAAGGGCATTTTCTATGAGACAGATTGTACAACCTCCAAAAAATTTAGGGCAGTCTGGAGCAGAGTAGTCCCGTGCAGACAGACCTCTCCACATATCGTATTTGCACTGGAGACAGTGCTACGAGCTGAGCGGTGGAATACTGAGACAGACAGAGCGGATGGATGGACCTGTATGTCGTGGAAGCGCTGCACCTTGACCAGATCATGAGCAGATGACGTCAGCTAGGTCGGAAAGTAGAAAAAAATCATTGTAAACCTAGTATTCAGAGAAGCCAGGAGCCTGAGCATTTTGCTCACAGGGTTTACTTTTACATACCTTTACCTCATTATTTTTAACTTTGGCCACGTTTAGAATGAAAATCTGACATTATAATATACTATCATAACAGAAAAGAAGGAAAAGAATAATAACACCCTTTAACTGTATCTCTGAGGCCTTCAGTGAAAAGAATTTACTAACTTTTCCACAGCCAATCAATACAGTCGCAAGTCTTAACACACACAATCAAACTGAATTCCTGACCTTATAAAACAGCTATAACAGACTTGAGGCTTCTTAACTAAATTATGTTGCTGTATGACTCACTGCCTCTGTTCTTCTTGCCAAAGTGGGCAAATCCACTTATCATGTATTACAGCCAACCTCCAAATATGGCAAGTATATGTAACTCTTTTGTCTTGTGTGAAATTCATACCATTTCTACCATTTCACCAATTCTAGCCTCCTGCATACATTTTGTCCGCAGGTTTCATCAACAGTATTGCGGCAATACTGATTTTAACCTCATGGGGGCAGACATATTCCCATCAGGAAAGCACTCCACATTAACTGTACATTTCCAACAGCTGTATGTGTTTTCATGTGTATTCCCTACCATGTTAAGGGAAACTGAAGGTCACACAAACATCTGGTCAGTGTCATCTACAGGCTTTTCATAAAACGACATCACATTCCCAGCACATTTCTGCCATAACCTCCCACTCCTGCTGAAATATATCCCAAACCCCTTGGGGTATCCTACGCTGAGCACAAACATTTGGGAGGATTTGTCATTTCACATCCCCTCTTCTTTTTTGCATGTGTATGCTCATATTCAGCACACACACACAAACAAATCAAACACCAATGAAAGTCTTCATATGACCTTCTAACATAATGGCTATTAGGCAAGTATAATGAGATTCAGTCAAGGCATCTCACTCACAAAAACAACCTCAATTCACACAGACACACAAGGTAATCAAAACAAAAGGTTAAGAGCAGTGTCAAGAGCTATAGCCTACTTTGGGACATGACCTCATATAAAGATATGAAACTGACATCCTCAGCCAGAGTCACACACGGAAGTTCTGTCTGCTTTTATCAGGAAACAAGTCCTGCGGAAGACTGTAGTTTTGTTGTTGTTTAAGGAAAACAAAATACAAATGTCAAAATCTATGTAGCCATGGAAAAGGATTTGACTGGAGAATTCCCTCTCAGTTTATCTCTTCGGATGTGAGAGGAGCCTTCCTTCCGCACTGATATGGATTTCACGGAGGGGGAAACCAGATAACTGTGCTAACTCAGTTACTTTGTATTCTAGCGTTTTGTTGTGCTCTTCTC